AAGCGGGATTATGGTTAACTCAAAAATGAGAAAAAGAATGGATAGAAACATCGTAGTAGACATGCTCTATGGTTACAAAGAATACCATCACATTTCAAAACAGATCAGCAAAATGTCATTCGAGATTATGTTGTCGGTAAAACTGTTATGACATGAATAATAATATAGTATAATATGGAGATAGTAATAGTAAAATCTGATCACAAATTAATGGTCTAGATCACAGATTAGCTGTTGAAAAGATAAGTCTTTAGGCTCGATTTAGATTGAAATTAAATTGGTAAATGATGTCACTTGCCTAATTTTATGTAGAATGGTGTTCCAAACAGCACAGAATGATAAATGAAAAAATGAAAGAAGCTCTCTCTCTTCAAGAGATTCTAACTATTTACTTGGTACGACTAGCTTGTTATCAGTTGATGACTTCTGTATTCTGGGAGGACGATAAACCCGGAACAGGTTCATTAAATACTGAGGTGCAGTGTTGTTCGTTAATACATTCAAAATACATGCTGGCAATCATTACAATAATTTGCATCTCGTTAGACAACCAGTGAATCTCTCTCAAAATGGTTGTTATGGAGCTCTTTGTCTTCACACCCACCCTCATCATGATTAATCTTGTTGCGAGGTTCATTCTCGATGATCCCGATGTCTTGAAATTTTATTCTGAGTCAGTTAGCCCAACGAACTACTAACGGTCAAGTTTTGAGAGAATGAGTGATTTTACAAGCTTTGTTGTCACGTCTTTTGTAAGGGAAGATCTTATACTGTTTATTTTCATCAGTTGGAAAATGAGGCTTTTACACAAAGAAATGGTATGGGCTGCCATCAACATCTAAATGGCAAACATGGCTCCTAACTTTTTCATATTTGAAGCTAGTTTAATAACGTGGCCATGAATATTTACCGGTGGTCGATACTGGGGTAGAATACCATGCCAGGGATTAGTAATTACCATGATTTCAGTTTTCATGTCTACATAAAAGACATCAGAATAAGTTGAAAAATTATTTTCTACACTTTTCAATTTAGAAGTGAGGTTTCCTTCATTTGAAAGCATCATCCCAAAAATATACAGGCCAACAATTGCGCCCCTTCAATTGACTTGTACTTTGTCCGTCTTGCGCTTGTTTCGTCCAGTATTTAATCGGAAATAATGCGTAACCCTGCCAAATAATGAGTTGTTTGTTGGTTTTTTAAACGTTGAACTATAGCATGAAGGGAAGTCAAAGTTCCTCCGTTTGGCAGCGACCGTTTGAAATGTGGAAAAAAAATTCTACGTGAATTGTTTTCCGAGCCACCAACATCATGTATCTCTAGTGGGGATTAATCCTATCCGTACGCCCTGGGGTTATTTTGTACCCCCATGGTTATATTCTTCACATTTTTAGAACACTTTTAGTATGAGCATCTCTTTGAAACTTTCAGTATTTCTCAAAAAATCATTTTGGCAGACTGATATGCAAAGCGTACGGATGGGATTAACGGATAAATTTTATCTTTGGAAAGTAGTGGCGCAGAGTTCCCCACGTCGCATGGATACGAGAGTAAAACACGATGTGCGGATAGGGTTAAGCATTGGTTTTCCAGACACCCCCCTACCTCCCACCACAGTTTTTGTTACGAGATCTTGTTGTAGTGACATAGTTTCGTTGTTAGGCTTGAACTGTCCACAACAGATGAAAGGAATGACGTTGATAATTCTAAATGAGAATCTGGTTGCACTGGCAAACACACACACACACACACACACACACACACACACACACACACACACACACACGCACACACACTCTCTCTCTCCCCCCCCCACCCCACACACAAACAAGGACACACACACAGACACACACACAGACACACATAGACACACACAGGGAGAGAGAAAAAAAAAGAGAGAGAGAGAGAGAGAGAGAGAGAGAGAGAGGGAGAGGGAGAGAGAGAGAGAATGTATGTACACACATATGCACACACATTAACACACTTACACAGACACACACACACACACACACACACACACACACACACACAAACACACACAGCGCGCACGCATACTCTTACATAATACACGAAAGAGAGCTCTCTCTCTCTCTCTCTTTATCCATCTCTCTCTCTATCTTGCTCTGTCTCTCTGTCTCTCAGTCTCTCTGCGTCTCTCTGTCTCTCTGTCTCTCTGTCTCTCTGTCTCTCTGTCTCTGTCTCTTCTCTCTCTCTCTCTCTCTCTCTCTCTCTCTCTCTCTCTTCCTGCCCATCGATCTTTTTATCTATCACTTGATCTATCTATTTTTCGTTTTGTCTACTGTCTGTCTATCCCTATCCACCCCTCTCTCCTCATTCTTTTCCACATGGATCCACGAGCACAACAGGTACTTTGTCCAAGCGGCCACAATTTGGAGTAATTATTTTGCTGCAAGTGTAAATGGTCGCTTTTAAGAACAAGGGGGCTATCCCGAACAAGGCTTTTTGAGAAAACCGAAGGTAAAGTTTTTGACTCTTGTTATGTTTCTTTAAAAGACAAGGAGAGTTTTCTCTATAACCAAACAAATATAGACACCAGTGAAACCAAACTTCTCATATAAGTAGGGCAATGCCTACTTTTCGTGTAGGTCAAGATTTCTGGAAACCCCCGAAATCTGGGTTGGCCCGCTGGTCCTTAAAATCGACCAAATACATTACAACTTTACACACAGCACAGACATTTCAGTAGATCAAGACTATACAATGTTTTACGACTAGGATTCTTCGGGGGAAATAGAGTTTGCTGTTGAGAGAGGGTATACGCTATACCAATGTATTTATCATTACTATTATTATCATCATTATTATCATTATTATATTAAAGAAGAGAATGGGGAACGGGAGTTCAGTATCACAAAATTGCCAGTTCAAGTTCGGACATGAATAACAGACGCATCGGTTCTAAAATAGAGCTGCTCGATTAATTCCCAAGAAAATCCCCCAAATTTGGTACAGTTATATTGGCTTCAATTTAAAGCTAGAATCGCTAACAAAATAACTCATTTACGTCACAAGTACATGAGCAAGAAAGTATCAAAACATCTGAAAGCCATCCCCTAGGGCAGTGCCATTGACTGAAGTGTCTTTAGGCCATTCCCAAAGGAGAGGGGGCGGGGCGGGTATTAACATATCTGGGAATCACCAAAAGTTGCTGGCCCTTTTCTTTCTAATTGTACCTGTGATGCCAGGCGACCTTCCCATTTCATTCAATCGCAAATTTCTCAACTTCTGTTCAAGATAAATGGATATTTTTTTCATTAGACGCAAGGCAAAATAACAGGCTTTAAGATTACACCAGTAATTCAAGATGCCCCAAAAACCGACGACCGCTTGATGCCACCGTGTCGTGTCACTTATTTTGAGGGGGTTCACGTGGTCTTGAGGTTAAGGTGCTCGCCTCTCATTCAATAGGTTGTCATGGTTCGAATACGAATAGCGACGAAGCATTTTCTTTTCTAAAATGTTCTCCTTTCACATCCTTTTTTGTTCTCTAACAATGTTCTGTCCTCTGCTTTCGTCAGCACTTTCTGCCCACCCACAACCCCTCATCTTCTTTGCCCCCTCCTCTGGGCCCCTGTCTCTTTCTGCAGCCTTTTTACTGCTACTCCTTGACTCCTCCTTACTGCTGTCTTTCAGCCACTCCCCTGATCTTCTGGAAGAAAATATATACACCTAGCTTTTTTGGACAAGGGTGAAAAATCTCGGAGGTCCCGTGTGCAAGTTGCGCACGTTTAAGATCCCTTGGCGGTCCAAAATTGACAACAGTAGGCTTCAGTTGCCACCTGGGCAAGATTCAAAATTTCCGACCACCTGAAAATGTTAAATGTGTCCCGTGCTCTCACATGACCTAATGCAGTTGCGAGCGCCGTAAAACACACACACACACACACACAAAAAGAAAACGAAACAAAACAAACAAAAAATCCCCCACAAAAACACCAAACATATTATGAATTTATTTCCTCCTGACATTGTGAACGGAAAATTTCAAATGCAAGAATACAAGCCGAACCAGACATAACGGTCGTTTTTACAACACGCTGGCAATGTTTAAAAAAAAGTGGATTAATGTTTGTGAAAACAGAATTTCGTAATAATATACAGTATAAGAGCATGAAAAAATGGTGTCAATTAACACATATTATGATAAACCTTATGATAATGATTCAAAAGAGCAGCAAACAATAATTTTCTAATACCCACGTATGTCTGCATAGAAGAATCTGAAAAAGCAGGCCTTGGATGTAAGCCTGTTGGTGATCATGCACACTGAGTTAGGATATCAACATAAAAATCCATTTTTCATCTTGATAGAAGCAGCGCAAGTGCGGCACTGATGCTGAAAGCCACAACTGAAGCAAAAATCGTACATAACAAAGATAGTTCACTCAGACAAAAAAGTGTCCGCGCAATGGTTCAGATGGTGCTGCGAGTCTTTGCTTTGAAGCTCTCTTTTGTTTCTCTAAAAGAAGAATAGGCATAGCACAGTTTGTTAGCTTCACTTTTATTGTTTTTCACACAAGTAGGGTGACTCTGATCGCAAAGTCCGCACTTTTTTTTAAAGAGGGCGCCCCCGAATTTTGAGGACACTTTTTACATTGACTCAAAGAGAGGAGTGAACTATCTTGTTATACACAATCTTTGACTGAAGCTAGCCTCTAGCCTTAAAGATAGCATCGTAGTTGAAATGCCAAATGCAACTATTTTAAAAAAAAATCAATTTCGTTTTAAGCTGGCCCCGGCATTGAAACCTGCAATGTTTTTTTAAAAAAAGGAGAGAATTACAATTGACTTGAAAGTGGATTAAGAACTAGTGGAAATATTACAAACACATACTCTCGGGGTGTGTTTGAGTCATATCTGTGGTATTTGACTCCACCAGTCTATTATGTCACGTTTGTCTTGCCGGTAAAAGTGAATTTCGTCAAGCTGATAATCCAGCCGAGAGAGGGCACGAAAAAAAAGAAGTAGATAACGACTACCTGCAACACAAGGGCACTAGTGCTTTCTCTGATAACACACTCTCAACACTTTTCTCCGATCACCGCCACAAAGCTCGACCAGCAGACGAGAGTTGGAGTGTCTCTGTTTCTGTACAGTTGGAGTAGGAGCTCCAGATTTCAGACACGGTCTGGGAACATGTCGACCTTTATGCTACAATAATCGACTTTTAGTCCACAGAGTTGCGAAAGGGACAAACTGTGGAGTGTCAGTAATTAATGTTTATCGAATAAGAGTACGCTTCGGCCGCGACCCGGACAAAATTCAAAAATTTCCTATCAACCGAAAATGTGTAATGTGTCCCGCGCGCTGATACCTCACACAGTTGCGAATTGCGAGCGCCGTAAAACACTTACCAAAAACAAAAATAACAGAAAAAAACCAACAACCGCTAACTTTCTATAGTCGTCTTACCTATTTTACTGCATCCTTCCTCTTGTACCATCTAGGGCGTCGAGAGGAGAAAGAGCTTTCTGTCTCTAGCAAGCTGGATAGCCTGGCTGGGTGGGATGTTTTGTGTGTTTTCAGGGTATCCTTCACACCCTCGATCCAGGTCTCCTTTGGTCTTCCTCTTGCTTTGCACCCTGATATTTTTTGTAGTACGCTTTACTGGCATGGCAAGCTAGTGAGGTACCGTCGTCAACCACTAGTGAGCCCATGTATAAATAACGTCAAGTCTTACCAGAGTGGTTGGTATGTGGGGTAAAAGAGGATCAGTTTGACTCACTGATCAATCCCAAATTAATCTCCTTACCTTTTAGCGTTACTTCTAGGAGTAAGTAAAATGTGGTTCAGTATTGACGAGTACACTCTTACTGTACTTACATGCGATATAATTTATCTCTTTGAAAAAAACAACACCCAACAACAACCCACATATTAGCGAAACACAACGCACTGCTTTCTCCTATCTTTATTCTGGAGCTTGGTGAAAACTCCATGACTAAAATTTAAAACCAGGACCTGCTGGTTAGTGAATTCAGACGTGCAAATAATCTGAAATCATCATCATCATCCGGTGCCTTGCCGACTGGCGTGGGCGATCATGGACCTCCACTTCCATATCTGTCTTGCGTTGCAGCGAAGGTGTCTGTTGTTAATGCTGCTCCCAGTCATGTTGTCAACTTGTCCAGTATCTTTTCCCTCTGTCTGCCTCTGCCTCTCTTTCCATCAAACTTGACTGTTGTTATACTATTCTCTAATGCTTCTTTCCGCGTTGTGTGTCCAATGAGATTTGTCTGTCGCTTTCGTATATTCGTCATAAGCTCTCGTCTGCAATTTGCTTCAACCTAGACTTCTTCATTTGATTTTCTAGCAGTGCATGGGACACGTAGCATGCGTCTTATGAACCACAACTCTGTCGCCACAATTGTTATTTCCAGCTGTCTATTGATTGTCCTTGCTTCGCACCCGTATAATAGGATTGGCTAGATGTAACTTTTCAGTACTCTCTTTATTGTTTCCAGTGACAGACTGATAGTTTGAAATAAGGGCAAATCATTTGAATAATGGCAAATATTTTAAACTAATGGCAAATTATTTAGAATAATGGCAAATATTTTAAACTAATGTCAAATAATTTGGAATAATGGGAAATATGTTAAACTAATGGCAAATAATTTGAAACAATGTTCACCAAGTACAAATGATGGTGACAAAGGGTTCAAATGGGTGGTCACTGAGGTATGGTCTTGAGCAAAACGCGGTAACCCAAACTAAAACCACCCAATAAAAACAACAACAACAAACAAACAAAAACCCCCAAAAAGGGAAGAAAAAGAGGGGCACTGCACACTGGTGACCAGCGATGGCATGTTTGTAAAATTGTCTACATTTGTGGAATTGTGTATTTATATAAGGTCGCTTTAAAGGACAAGCGGGCTAACCCAGATTTCGGGGGTTTCCAGAAATCTTGACCTACACCAAAAGTGGGCATTGTCCTACCTATAGGAGAAGTTCGGTTTCATTGGTGTGTATATTTGTTTGGCTATAGAGAAAACTCTCCTTGACTTTCAAAGCAACTGAACAAGGGGCAAAAACTTTACCTTCCATTTTCTCAAAACAGTATTTTTTTTCGGGATAGCCCCGTTGTGCTTCAAAGCGACCATATATTCGTGTGTTTCAAGGTGTACTGGGTGTCCCAAGTTTTATGACCGCCGAAGAAAATTAAATAAAACAATAAAACAAACACCTCAACCCTGCCCCCCCAACCCCCACCCAACCCCCCAACCCCAACCCCCCAACCCAACAACAAACAAACAAACAAACAAAAACAACCCCGCCCCCCCCCCCAACAACCTACAAAACAGAAACACTGTCAACATACAGCACAGTCCTTCTGTAGAAACATGCAGGAAGGAAGCACCGGGACAGACCGTTACACTCAGTTTATTACCCGAAAAAGGAATCCGCCTTATAACTATTACATTATTCGCTTTACACAAAATTAATGCTCCAATATTGGCCCCTGCACGCGCAATGCAATTCCACGTTCTGACTAATACAACGTGTAGCGTTCTCACAGACAACTGCTGAGTGGTAGCTTTTCCCAAGCTCCTCCTCTCAACCAGAATTCCTGGGGGGTTTGGAATCTTTCACTTGTGATTTAGTCTTTGAACCCCCCCCAAAAAAAAAAATAAAAAAAAAAAAAAAAAAAAATAAATAAATAAATTATAATAAGGATCATAATAATAATGATAATAATAATAATATAATCAAAAAAACAATGATGATAATCAAAAATAATAACAATAACAATAATAATAACGATAATAGTAATAATAAGGATGACAATTCTGATAATAATATTAATGATAATAAATAAATCCATAAATAAAAAATACATTTTAAAAACAAAAAGGTAATTATAAAAAAAATAAACATTTTAAAATAAAAACGGTTCAAAACTGAACTTACTTACTGGTGCCCATGGGTGCTCTGTCAAGCGACTGACGACACGATTACCAAAATGTCCAATCGGTCAACACTCGTTTCGCAGTGAGGGGGGTTGCCTTATAATATATGAGTAAAATTATATTTTCCGTTTAATTACGTCATAAGCGTGACGTCGGGGGTCCCATACCTATTGTCCCAAAAAAGGAACGGGCACACTTTCCATAATAATGGTCCAATTTTCAAAAGAAAAACATCACTCATTTTGTTTTAAAGAGTTCTTTACCTTGCTATTGTGGAAAAATGATTTAAACTAAAAGCAATTTCAATCTTACATGCATAGCTCAAGCAGGAGGTTGGCAGGTGCTCTGGGGTATGGTTTGTTCCTTTTTTTCCCTGTCAACATTCAACGTCCCTATCTGTCCTCGTTCTTTTCTGTGTATGTTACTCGCTTGCAACTCTTCTAATCTTCTGGGCTTATATGACCTGTTTGTGTTGCAAGTGCCGTTAAACCCATGCTAAAACCAAACAAAAAAAAAAGCATAACGCAGACTTGAAGAATATAAAATTCAACGAGTATAATATAAAGCGGGAGATTGATACAAGAATCACCATAGAATATGATAATTACTGACGGGCATCAAATACAGATATATGCACCATGCAATGGCTCATACCCCGAAGAACAGCGACATCATTTCTATGATCAACTGAGTGACCTTTTAAACACCGTGGATGACAAAGATAATGTGACAATCATGGGGGACTTTAACGGCAGAGTGGGAACAAGGAAGACGACGTGGGGGAGATGTATGGGGCCGCACTGTGACAGAGAGATAGATCAAAACAGCAAAGGAGAAATTCTATTACAGTTGTGCGCAGAACATGACTTCGTCATAATATCAAATACCTTCTTCCAACACAAAAGGAGTCAAATTAAAACTTGGTACAAATGGAAGGACCTAAAGATAGCATCGCAAATTGATTTTATCCTGGTCAAAAGATCGAAACTGAGAAATATCAGAGACTCAAGAGTGATTCCCATCTACATCGTAGACACTGACCACAGACCAGCCATCATGACTTTTGACACACCAAACAGGAAAAGGCCAGAAGCAAAGAAACGACGAGAAGTCGTAAATCTCAGAAATATAAATGACAATACCAAAGATAACATACATGGACTATATTATATAGATCTAGTGCAAGTCAGTTCATCTGTTTTTTGTTTTGTTTTGTTGTTGCCAGTGCACCTAGTTCAGAGAATTAACTTTTCCAGTCACGTAGAGTATAAAGAATTTGTTACATGAGTTATGGTGGTAGACCATGATTTATCCTGCGAGTGAAATTGCCGAGTTAAATTGTAATCACGAGTTTCAGCTGGCAATTTCACAAGTAGGATAAATCATGATATACCAACATAACGAGTGTAATAAAAATTGTTATATACCGTACTGATATCAGCTGGCGTAATAGATCCCAACCTTCAAAGTTCAAATGACCAGTCATGTGAACAAGAGGATCCTTTCAAGGGTCTAACAAGAAATCAAAGTTTGTCATGCCCGTCGGAGTCAGCCTGAGGGTTGGAAAAATCTGGATTTTTCCTTTTTTTGCCACACTAATCTACATGTTGTGCTTTCCGTATGGCTCCGTCCGCGAAATAAACCCCAAACAAAACAATAATAACGTAAGCATAGGCAATGCAAGCAGAAAACGTACGATTCAAAAGTTGAAAAATTCAGAAACTGCTTTTATATGACATGTTGTCGTTAGAATAGATCCGAGATAACTTTGACTTTGACTTTTTAACTTCACAACCAAACAGACCTAAAGCTGGGAGTCGTTGGCTAGCATCACATCTATGGCTAGCATAGCCTAGACTTGTGCATTGCACTAAAATGCACCACCGCACCCTGACGTAATCCCGATTCACTATGGTGCGCACGATTTGGCTCAATTTGGAACAAAATTAGGGGCAACATAAAAGGTTGCGCGTATTCTCACTAGATCTATAACGACATTAGGGGACTGGCAGGTGTTTAGCCCCAAAGAGTCTACATAGCAAGAGGGTCCACTCCTCTCTTTGAGCCAATTAAAAAAGTGTCCTCAAAATTCGGAGGCGTCCTCTTCGCAAATGCGCACCCTTTTCGAACAGAGTTACCCTACTTGTGTTTAAAAAAATCAAAGTGAAACTAA